AAAAATTCTTTGCTGGCTACCAAGTTATATGGGGTGGGGTGAGGGGAGGCAGGGGAAAGTGGAGCACAGGACAATTTGGGTGCTGGGGGCCGTGTCAGTACACTAGAAGGGGGAGGAGAATGGAAGAACAAAGTGGATGGGAGAACAGTTAGGCAAGTTTGCACGGGCTAAGTGGGACAGAGGTAAATAATGATGTATACACAACCTTGGAACAACAGGGCTCTGGGATACAGGGATTGAGGCATGGTTTGTATTAGAGTAATCTGATACAATTTGATGAACTTGACCTACACCTATGGATGCAGTAGCTCAAAAGAAGGAACAAATCTTTACAGCAAGGATCATTCCCACCCCCTCCATACACAAAATAGACAGGGATGGGCAACTTGGACATTGGCTATCCAAAATGGGGGGGCTACAAAGGCAAGAAATGACTGGCTTACAAGCTTTCAAGAGGGAACCTAGTTCCACAGGGTGCAGGGGATGGTAGAATCTCCACTGAGTGATTTCCAGCCTGTCTGGACAGGGCTGATGAAAGGAGATGGGGATAGGACCTTGTGGTTCAATAGTGAATGATTGCTACAGGTCTGACTGTGAGTGTTGGAAATGTAAAGGTAGACGTTTCGTAACAAAAGGGGGGAAGTGATTGATTTTGCAGTCCAAGAGCAGAGGTCCCTGGGATCATCAAGGGAGAGGAATGGAGTGCGGGATCCTGTCCAGAGAGGCAGTGATGCCAGAGATGGAGGTAGAGATGACGATGTGGAGAGGTGGAGCGGCTGGGGACTCTAGACTCTGGAAGGGAGAATGGCTGTGTGCTGATGGCAAGGGGGCATGCTTTGTACCTTTGGTTGGTTGGAGGGAATTGTAATCATTGCAGTGAAGCAAAGTAGGATAGGATGAATGTGAGGTGGTGTTCTCCCATGTAGACTATCACATAATTCACAATTAACAACAAAAAAGAAATGGTCAATGTTTAACCATTTCAAGAGGTAGCATATGATCAAGAGTCAATGGTACCGAAGGAAGAAGTTCAAGGTGCGCGTAAAGAACAAGGCTCCTGGAATTGGTGGAATACAAATGGCAATCTTTTAACAAGCGTTGGAGGTACTCATTTCTCTATGCCAAGAAATTTGGAAGACAGCTACCTGGCCAAGTGACTGCAAGAGATCCATATCTGTACCCATTCCAAAGAGAGGCGATCCAACAGAATGTGGAAATCATTGAACAGTAACATTAATATCATATGCAAGTAAAATTTTGATGAAGATAATTAAAAATGGCTGCAACAGTACATCAACAGGGAACTGCTAGAAATTCAAGTCAGATTCAGAAGACCATGTGGAACGAGAGATATCAATGCTGGCATCGGATAGATCTTGACTGAGAGCAGAGAATACCAGAAAGATGTTTGCTTGTGCTTTGTTGAATATACAAAGGCTTTCAACTGTGTGGGTCATGACAAGTTATAGACACCATTGTGTTGTTGGACAACAAGTTATGGACAACATTGGGTATTCCAGAATATTTCATTGAGGAACCTGTACATCGAAAATGAGGCAGTCGTTAGACCAGAACAAGGGGCTATGGAATGGTTTAAAATCAGGAAAAGTGTGCACCAAGGTTGTATTCTTTCATTATCATTATTTAATCTGTATTCTGCGCAAATAATTTAAGAAGCTGGATTCTATGAAGCACGTGGCATCAGAATTAGAAAAAGACTCATTAACAACCTGCGACATGCAAATGATAGAACCTTGCTTGCTGAAATTGAAAAGGACTTATAATACTTAGTGATGAAAATCAAAGACCACAGCCTTCAGGATGGGTTGCATCTCAGTTGTAAAGAAAACAAAAATCCTCACCACTGGACCAATAAATAATATTATAATAAATGGAGAAAAGATTGACGTTTTCAAAAATTTCATTTTGCTTGGAGCCACCATCAACACTCATGGAAGCAGCTGTCAAGAAATCAAATGACATATTACATTAAGGCAAATCTACCACACAAGACCTCTTTAAAGTGTTCTAGAGTAAAGATGTCAGCTTGAAGACTCAGGTGAACCTGACCCAAGCCATGGCATTTTTCAATAACCTTATATGTATGAGAAAGTTAGACCGTGAGTAAGGAAGACTGTCGAAGAATTGATGCTTTTGAGGTGTAATGATGATGAAGAATATTAACCGTATCATGGATTGCCAGAAGAACAGGCAATCTGTGTTGGAAGAACAGCCCAAATGTTCCTTACAATCGAGGATGGCCGGGCTTTGTCTCTTATACTTTGGACATGCTAGGAGGGATCAGTCTCTGGAGCAAGACTTCATGCTTGGTAAAGTGGAGTGCTGGAGAAAAAGAGGAAGACTCCCAATGAGATGGATTGGCACAGTGGCAGCATCAGTGGACTCAAACGTAACAGTTAAGAGGATGGCACAGGACCACACGGTGTTTTGTTCTGTTGGGCATACGGTCGCTATGAGTTGGAGCCAACTCAAAGGCACCTAACAACAACAACAACAACAACAATCCTCCTGTGATGTGATCTGCTATGAGCAGCCAGTTGATTCAAAGGACGTTTCTTCATGGGTGTGGCCTGCAACACTGTTTATCTTACAAAGACAGAAGGGCAGAAAAGCAAGCAGAAAATGATGATCAACTACCACCAAGAAAGAAGAGCCAGGGAGTGAAGTGGGTTCTTTGGGCCTGTGAAAACTCCTCCATCCAGGGGAAGGCTGACAGGGATCTCCAGGAAAGGCTGGGCCTACGGATGCTGAAAAGAGACATGCTGAAAAGAGACAGAGACGAGGGCCTTTGTCCAGACCCAGTGCTCTGAAAGGAGACTTCCAGCCCCTAAATGCTGAGAAAATCAATCTCTGTTAAAACCACTCCCTTGTGGTGTTTCTGTAATAGCTGCACTGGAGAGCTAAGCCAGCCCACATGCCCACACTGCACCCCTGTGTCCCTGACCCTGGTACCTTTCTGGCGGTGGGTGACCAGCAGAACCCGGCCAAAGCGGCCCTGACCCAGGGGACGGACATCCTTGTATAGCTCGTCCACCTCGGCATGGACCAGGGTCTGGGCACTCAACGCCATCATGTCCTCCAGGGCCAGCGCAGCCTTCTGGCCTTGCCGCAGCTCCTCCTCCGTGAGACCCCCGAGGTCCTGCTGAGCCCCCACTTCCACCTGCTCCTCTTCTGACTGTTTCCCAGGCATCACTGCAAGGACAAATGCAGATGAAGTCACTGAGGTATGGTCCAAAGGACCTGGGCTATGGGGTGAGAAGCAGGATTCCAGGCTCTGAGGGGAGAGGCAGCTGGGGCCTGGATTCCGGGGAACTTTGGGAAGAAGCTAGGATCAAGACTCCTGAATCACATGGGGAGGAGGGGCAGGGGGTCAGGTCTCCCGGGTCTGAGGGAGGAGGGGCTGGGGGTCAGGACTGCTGGGTCTGAAGTATATGGAGGTTGGGGACTTTAAGAGTGTAGGGACCTGAGTCTATGATGACTCAGTCTCCCTTTTCATGTGAGGTGTCTGAAGAGCAGAGTCACTGGTGTAAGGTGAGGGCACGCCTGAGGTCACAGATGTCCCTGGATCCCGCCCCCACATCTCTGTGCCATTCAATGGCCTAAGGGTGAAAGATGAACCATATAACTGGAGACACCCCCAACTTGTTTCCAAAGCAAACATACTCAGGCCACTGGGGTGGAGGAGTAGCCTCTGTCTCCTGAGAGTAAACAGGTGTTCTCGGCCCCCCGGGGCTGTGCAGGGGGGTGGGGTGGGGCACTCATTCAGGCCAATGCTTGGCTCCTGGAGGCAATTTAGGCACCCTTCTCACAGCTCTAGCCCTCCTCCCTCAGACCTGGGAGTCCTGACCCCCAG